TAAATAACTAAAAGGTTAATAATAGGTTGGATAAAATTGAATTAAATTTAAATTTTATTGAATTGGATTTAGGTTTGAATGTTGAATTAAATTTAAAATAAGACTAATTTACATATTTTTTTTAATTTTTCGCGGGGATGGGGATCCCCACGGGGCCCCGCAGAGCGGGGAAAATTCCCCGCAAATTTTCACGGGGAGAAAATACTCCCCGTCCCCACCCCATGGGGAGAAATATTCCTTCCCGCCCCGCCCCCGTGGCGGGGATCCCCACGGGGCCCCGCGGGGATCGGGGCAAATTGCCATCCCTAATCCTAATACAGTCCTGTACGTGCCATGGGGAAAAGAGAAATGGGTTGGGCCGAGGGCTAAAAGTCTAAAACACTCGACTCAGCCCGGTGCTCTTCACTAAAGATGAATATTACCGTTTAAGAGGTGTTTGGTTGGAAACAATTTTTAATTTTTTTTTAAATTCTTTTATAAAATTATTTATATATTTTTACATATTAATATTATAATAAAAAGTGAATAAATGTAATATTTTTAATATTTATTTTTTTACACAATTTTCAACTCATAAAATTTTCTTTTCACTTAGATCCTATTTGGTTAAATGATAATTTTTTTAGAAAAGCTTTTATTTAAAAATTGATTAAGAAAGTATTGTATGAAAATTGAAAAGTATTGTACAAAACATTACCAAATTTTGTAATGAAATTTTATAAGATTCTTAATTTTGTTGTATTTAATAAAAAATTGATATAGAGAAGGTTGTTAAGTAGGCTAAATATAAAAAAAGTTAACTTTTTTCTTTTAAAATAGGTGAGAAAAAACTTTACAGATTGAGAATTGTGTTAAAAAAAATAAATACTTAAAGTGTTATTTTTCTCATTTTTTGTTATAGTATTAATATGTGAAAATACGTATATACCCTTATAAAGGAAGTTTAGAAGAGTTTAAAGAGAATTGTTATTCTCCAACCAAATATCCTTTATCATAAAAGGAAAAACTTTTTCCATAACTTACCTTTATATTGGGCTCAGTAAATAATTTTTGCTATTAATCTTTTTATATTAATTTCTTATCAAATATAATAAAATTCTAACAAAATTTTATTACAAAATTTAATAATTTCCATACCATATATACCTTCTAAATTTTTAGAGAGTATTTTCTTAATTATTTTATTAGTAACATTAAATTGTTCTAAAAAAAAGTCACTCTAGCTAAGCAGACTTTAAAAAGTAGAGTGTGACATTTAAAGTTAGGTGGAGTAAGGATTTCCTGTTGAGATTGTGAGATACAACATTTGTTATGTGAATCAAATGATGTGATAGCTGCTAACTTCTATCAGTTTAAAAAGTAACTTGAGGGCAAGATAAAAAATTTAAATTTTTATAATGTTAAATAATTAATTTACTAATGTAAAAAGAGTCAAATGAAAAAGGATTCTTATTATTTCAAAAAGTCTCCTGATTTTATGATACAGTTCTCAACAACCATTAGGTATATGTAGGCCAAGGGTCTCTTGCCTATTCAGTGCTTGAAGCATTGCTTCCCATATACCAAAATAAAATGTTGGACGAGATAGTAATCAAGACCGAAAGAGTATACTAAACTCCTAACATTTTCCATTTTTTGAATATTAAAAAATTAGAGAAAGGGAGATTACGTCATAAAAATTTGAATCATAATAATATTCATGGTTTAGGATGCACCCTACCATTACAATCACTGTTACAGCTACTGTTGCCATGCAAACTCTTAACTTTTCTAAATCATCACTTTGGCAGCATGCTTGTCCTTCAAGTTCATACAATCCCATTTGACTTGTGTTTTTAATTCTTTCATATATATTCCCATTTGAATTGTTCATGTTCGCAAAATGGCAGCCAACGCAGGAACAATAATACCCATTATTTAATTAAATTAATTATTAATTAACTTAAATTTTAAATGCAGATGGAGCAACATCAATTTGGTGAGAGGCATTCGTGGTGTGATTTGATTTGAATTTTAATATTTTTTTAAATTAATCTAATTTAATCGGTTAAAAATTTTAAATCAATTCAATCTATTATTATATAATAATTAAATCAATCTAATTTAAATCGAATTAATTTGATTTAATCGGATTGATCGATTTTTATCATTATTAAACATATGAGATAATGTAAAAATATTTTAACATTAACTAGAAAACATAAGTATAAAATACATTAACATTCAAATTAGTAAAAATATAATAAAATGTATAAATTATAAATAAGTTTTTATACTCCTTTACATTTGTAAAAGTTGAAAAGTTTTGAAAATCCTTTTTGGTTACATCACTAGAAGCACCAAGAACAATAAAATATGACTTTAAGTTTCTAATACAGTGTAAATAATTCTTAAAAGTTAAATTAGTTTTTTTTTCTTAATGCACTAATAATTTAATAACATCTTTTAAATTTTGTTAAAAATAAATAAAATTTAACATAAATATCACTAAAATTGATTAGAAACATTCATAATCAAAATTTAAAACTTCTAAACCAAATATCCAATAATAGTAGAATATCAAAACTAGATTTATTATATTGTTTTAAGACTTTTAGAATAATACTTTTTTAAAACTTAGTTACAAGAATCATAATATTATTTTATGAACAAATTAGAAATTCAAGATTCTAAGAGTAAAGATGCAAATCAATTTTCAGATGATAGAGTTACAGGTGAATTAGAAATTTAGAATTAGGATTATGGTGCATGATTAAAATGAAAAAATAACTTAAAGATTATGAAGATATTTTATTTTTATTTTTTAATTAAATTAATGAAGTTATTATCTTGTAAAATTAAAAAAATTTAAAATACTACAAAAAATTATATTATATAATTTAATTAAGTTATCTTATAATCGGATTTTATTTTGTAATGGAGCAGTTCGGACGGTTTGAAGATAAAACCACAAACCAAATCAATTATATTAGTTTTAAAATTTTATAATTTAAATCAACCCAATTTTATATTGATTTGAATCGATTTTTGATTGGATTAGATTAGTTTAGGTCGAATCAATCGAATTAGATAAGATATGAACACTCTTAAATTTGGTATTGGTAAGCTGTCTACCTTACTTGGGGTCCAAGGTGGGCTTAAGGTTGAAAACTTTTCCATAATCATATATATACAAAGACATCCAACTCAAATTAACTGTAACAAATCAATCTCCGCCAGAAACCATGGCTACCGATGACCCTTTAGGCATTGAAAGTTCACATCCAGAGGAAAATGAATCAAAAATCGAATCTGCCACCAATCTTGTTAAAAAAAAAAAAAAAAAAAAATTCACCCTCAAAACAATGCAAGGACAAATTATTTTTTCAAATCATAAATCAAGATAAATAATTTATTTTTTAATAAATTTTATTAATTTTTT